GGCCCATGACATCTGAGGGTGATGCTGGTGGTATGACAGTAGAAGTTGAACCCTCCCATCAATATTTCATTACATTTTGTTGTTGTGTGACAGATGGCAGCAGAGGGGCAGTCTGGCAAAATGGTGTCTGAGATGGAAGTGCATATGAAGCAAAGGTATGCAACTGAATTCCTCCATGTGGAAAAAATGGCATCCTTTGATATTCATCAATGCTTGCTCAGTGTTGATGGAGACCAAACCATGGATCTTAGCACAGAGAGGTGGTGGGGGTTGCATTTCAGTAGTGGTGACAGCAGCATGAAATCCACATCCCAGGCAGCCATGGAGATTTTTATGAGCGCAGCATGCAGGTTCCTGTTCATTGTTGGCAAAAATGCATAGCTAATGATGGAGAGTATGTTGAAAAATAGTTTTCTGTAGCTGAGAATGTGCTCTATCAAATAGTGTTATTGTGCTCTTCGTATCTGATGTAGTTTCCATGGAAATAAACAGAAAGTATTACTTTTGGAGCAACCTATATCCATATTATTTAACTTGCATCTCTTCACCTGTTTTTGCAATTCAAAATGTGACCCTTCAGAACATGCTACTGGGTGACATTTACTCAAGGGCTTAAACTGCAGATCTCGTACACTGTGAACTTGCTTGTTTGTAGGCAAACAGAAACTTGGCTCTTAATTTCCCCGTGTCACTTCTCATTTTGGTTCTCTTTCCACACTGTAGGTATTTCAGGGGGTCAGCAGAAAAACCCAAGCAGACTTAGATAGAAGAAAGATTTGAAGTTATCTTTGACTTTTATAGACCTTTTTTATTAAAATGCTCAGAGCTGTAAATGTAGTAATAAGAAACTCATTTATCTTGACAAAAGTGCTGCCATAAACTATTCAGCACTCATAAAATAACCTTTTAAATTATTGTTTCTGCTGGTATCGATAAATTCGTACAAAGTGCTTAAAGGTCAGGCACTGCCAGAAAAATGTCTTTTCAGCTTGTTAATTAAAGGTTTATAAGAATGTGCACCAGCTTGCTCTTTGGACAAATTGGAAAAAGGGAAGGAGAAAATAAAACCCCGCACAGGTGGAAATTAAGGTGTGGGATTAGTGAGTGAAGAGTGTTTGATCCTTCAGGCTCACCACGGCAAGCCTGGACAGTTTGGGAGTGAAAATAGTTGTCACTGACCTAAAAGTTAGCTGAGTCAAATGTGGCTCTGCATCAACAGACAAGATGACATTAATCAACAGTGTGGATCAGACACTTGAAATGGGAAGTCTGGCTTGCTTTTCCACTGTACAGAAGTTTAGCCCTTACAACGTTATTTTGCCTCCAAATGTCAATTTTTTCATCACTGAAATGGAGACAGTAGTACTGAGTTCTCTGAGATAAAAGACGAGATGTGTTCTAGGAACAGTTCAGTTTTCTGTTGCTGAATTCTGCTTGTACAACATCTTGACCTATTTATTTTCCATGCTGAGAGACAATAACAAACTAACACAAAGAGTGAATATTAAAATAGATTCTTAAATAGACTCCTGTCTGAATGTACTACAGTGCCATTATTACTGAGTGAGATCAAAATTTTGAATTTTCCCTCAGCCATGTGATTTATGCGCTGACACTGCTTGAATATTAAATAACAGATCCTTACCATAAAAACATTTGTAAACAGTAGGCTGCATCTTTGTCACTGAAAATTTCATAACCCAAGAATGCCGTAATTTGTTTTTGCTCTCTTGAGATGGCTGCAGAACTCCTACTTCAGGAAAATAAATCTGAAGAATTTTTTCAGGGCGCAGGTGACAGAACTAATGATAGTTCATTCCTCTGATACCCACAGACAATACATCCTGCCTTTGTTTTCAGGTGAAGCCAAGAGAACGGCATAGAGCAGTTTTATGGCTTTTTTTTTTTTGTTTCTTATCATTCATGTTCACAGCTCCAGCGCTGTGTGTTTTTAAACATAACAGAACTGGCACAGCAATGCACCTAGAGGCTGAGATGAGCTCCTTTCTCAGAGGATAGAGGCATTCTATTCCAGACACATTTTTTTTCTCCTCCCGTGGTTGATATTTGAAGTAGTACAAAAAAGGAGATTTGTTACTCACGTGAAATTTCTGTGCATCCGAACAGTTGATAACCACATCTTATCTAACTTCTGAGTAATTTGATTCTTATCTTTATAGTCAATTCCCAATTTCATTCAGTGTCAGCACTTCTGATTTTGATACATGGTATTCTGTTGGATGGTGTGAAAATCCTTGCAAATCCAGTCCTATCTGCAGGAATATGAATATCTGAATATGAGTTTTCAAGGTCTGTGGTGGAATGTATAGAAAAGGTAAGAAGCCACACTTTAAGCATGACCTTCCTAAAGGAGGAACTTCTTGTTACAGTTCGCAGTTGTGGGTTATGTGCAGCCCATGAGAAGTTGTGATGTTTGCAGGGAAAACCTGGGCTCACTGCATTACCAAAGAATTATTGTTAATTAAATATTGTTAATTAATAGTGCTGGGATGTGGAGAAAATGTGCATCATATTGCATGAAATATGTAAATTTTCAGATTATCTGAGTTTGTAAATTCCTTTTTGTTGTCCATTGTAAAAGGAAAAACAACTGAGCTGAGTTAATGTAGCTCATGATAATACAAAGCAGGGAGTAGTACTACATCTACAAGGTGGCCATACAGCAAGTGGCTTCTCCAGTTCTCCTTCCCTTCAGGAATTCCTTGTGTCATCCTCCCCAGCGTGTAAGGCCATCATATGGTAGAGAGGGCAAACAAGCCATTCACGCAGATAGTTTTTTGTATCCTTCCTGTTTTTATTCTATATGTCCCTCTATAGGGATAGCTGCAGTGGAAACACCCCATTCACTTCCTCACTTTGCTGACAGTACTCATGTGGGAAGGTAAAACTTGCTAATTCCTGTGTCTTGAGGTAGAAATGGTGTTGGTTTTTTTTTTTCTCTCTTTGGTCAAGACAAATTTTGGGGTATATTTTTACTTGGGCAATCCAGGCGGGTACTGATAATCTATGAGCACACAGGAAAAATGATCTTGCATGCTTACAGATATACAACTCTCCTTGGTGATTGACTCTGGCAATTTTTAAACTTTCTTGAAGATACAAAACCACACAACCAAGTATCTCAAAGAAAAGTGGCAGTGTTGAAACATAAGCTCTGTATGACAGCTTTATTAAAAATATTATGCATGAAAATGCATGGCATTCTTATCAAACACTGTAGTTAAAATGAAGCAGACTATTTTATTACTCTGATTTTGAAGTCTGAGAAGAACACATCAACACGGACCTAACACAGTCTCTCTTTGCTTGAACTGACTTAATTATACTTTCATTTTTATTGACAAATTTCATTATCAGTTTGGGGTAACATTAGCATATTTTATTTTGCTGTCCATGATCCCGTATCTTTGTTCTGAGGAGACTTAAGTTCAGAGAAATTCACTGGAACCTGTTTTTCTTTTGTTATTAGTCGTTTCTAGCAACCAAATACATTTTTTCAGGTTTGTTTTGTGTTTTTTTTTTTTTTCCAGTGACTATGTCTCCCATGTTCTTATAATGGCAGTCATGTTCTTGCATATATTGCCACATTATTCCAACAGCAATTAGGAAACATTAGATAGAAGTTATACAAACTTGTCTTAAGAATACTGGCCAGTTAACTGAAATATGAACTGCATAACGGGGTGAATGAGTGGAAGGTAAAGGGGAAAAGCTAGAAATATTCTTTAGATGTAGGACCCACTGAGTTATCTTTTTTTTTTTTGAAGGAAAGAAGTACAAGCTATTTACAACATCTCAGATTCAGTATTTCAGAATCATCTGTGGGTGTCTTGAAAAAGATCTACCATTCAGACTGTCTGAAATAAATGTCATACCTCTATCTACATCACTATAGATGGATGAAAAGCCAGCAAAGTAGTGAGGCTGAACAGTCACTGAGATTTTTTTAGGGGGAGAAGGGGAATTTAAATGTATTTGACAGTATTACAAAAGCATGTTTTACTTGTTCTGTTGATGTCCTTCTGTATTCATAAGTGAGAAAGACATTACTGGGTTAACAGGCTCTCTGCTTAGAAAAGTATCTTTATGAGAAAGACATTTACTCATTGAAGGAACTACGTCAGATCTCTTAAATAAGTTTTTAATCAAATTCTTATTTGAGGGAAGGGTGAATACAGGTAGATGGTAATAGCTGCTGCATTGGCCCAAATGGATGCTGTCATGGAATCAAAGAATGCACTGGGGTTGAAAAGGACCACAATGATCATGTAGTGTCAGCCCCCCTACCATATGCAGGGTTGCCAACCACCAGACCAGGCTGCCCAGAGCCACATCCACCCTGGCCTTGAATGCCTCCAGGGATGGGGCATCCACAGCCTCCTTGGGCAACCTGTTCCAGTGTGTCACCACCCTCTGTGTGAAAAACTTCCTCCTAATATCTAACCTAAAGCTCCCCGTCTCAGTTTGAGACCATTCCCCACCCTGATAAACAGCTGTCCTAGATGAATGTTATGTTACAGTGTGTTAAAGCAGATTTATAAGTAGCTTCCCATTTTAATAATTCAGTATTTAATGTTTACTAAACACAGTGAACTTCTCTTATGACCCTGGCAACCATGCAGTGCATCACCTTCTAGTGCACATTTTGAAGTCTTGTGATGGTGCATTTCACCTTTCTTTTGAAAACAAGCCTAGACAGTCTTCTGTTGTTGCCACATGATTGTTTGCTGTGTGTACCAAAAAAAATACACCCAATGCACAATAATGAGGCACATCCTTCGCACTCATAGTTAGAAGATGCTCTAAGAAGGCACTGGCTTTAATGAGCAGTTCTTTGAAGTTAAAGAGAAGGGAAAGTAACTCTTCAGTCCAAGTGGATTGGGAAGGGAAGCTCTGTGTAGAGTAGAGCCTGGGCAAGCTATGCCCGTATTTTAATCCTTGTTCTATTGTTTTGTGTTTGTTTTTTTTTTTTTCAACAGACTTTGGGAACTATCACTGCAGTGCCCATTAAGGTTCCTCAGGTCAGCTCCTTGCAGAGGTTGGCAGGACAAGGACCAGCAGTGCTACCTCAGGTACGAAATACAGTTCCATGTGTTGTTTAATATGCTGTGTTCCCATCTAGTGCCAAAGTCTGTGTAGGTTTGCACACCCATTTGACTGAACAAATTTAGTAGATCTTGTATGTTACTGGGCAACTCACCTTCAGTGAGTTAAAAAGCAGAGCTATGATTTTCTCCAATTTGTGAAGAAAAGAAATATCAGATATATTTTGGGAGTATACTGTTAGCACAATGAAAAGTCATAAGAAAAAAAAACAACTCAGATTCATTGTGAAAGAACAAAATACATATGGCAAACTGTAAATTTAGGCTTTGTAAAATGAATCACAAATCATGAATGCAAAAATCTGCAAATCTGTAATTAAAAAAGGGAGGTGGAAGTATTAACCTTTCTGTTCAGGATTTAGACTCAAACATTCTTTTTCTAACTTACTTTATCTCTGTTTATCCCAGTATAGAGTTTTGTCTCAGCTAACCCAGATGCCAGACTGAGAGTCTGTGTAGAGGTGAAAGTATTAGGTCATCTATGCTCACACTTTGAGACCTGGATTTTCTTTTCTGAATATCCAGCATAGTTTCCCTAATCATACACTTTGTTCCCCATTTCAGCCCTTCTCAAAAGCTTTAGATGTCATTTTCAACATGCGTAGTGGTTATTCTTTCTGAGTCATGATTATTAAGTGCGGATGTATTGCTCTTTGTGTAGCCCTCACAGGTCTATTTTTCATATTTGAACATTTTTCTAACATTGAATTCAATGTTAGGTCTTCCTATTGTTCCTTTATTTATTTTTTTTCTAATATTTTTTTAGTGGCAGAATCTAGTAGCAGATCTATGAACTAAATCTGCCTGGAGGAAGGAGTATTTGTATTTCCAAGATAAAGTTCTTAAATTCTCTCTTTAAATTACATTTTGTAGAAAACAAAGCTGTGAACATAAAGTGAAGGTCATAGTTTTCTTATCAAGTTCAAGTCTTTGCTTTTCAGCTGTTCTTATGGCATAATGACACATTGATTCTTTGCCATTTTGGGGTGTCAAAGATGAGCAGATTGTTCCTGGAAATAGATGAAGTTCAAGAGCATTGGAAAGACCTGTAACAGGGACTTAAATTATTGTTAAGGTTATGTTTTAGCAGTGATGATGGCATTGAAAATGCTGCACTTAGAGAAGCATCGATGTTCTGTTAAACAGAAAAATTTTCCTTGTGTTAGATTCAATTTTGAAGAGTTGAAAAAAGTGGAATAACATGTTTTTTTATCTATCTTTCTCTTGAGCTCATGGCAGTATTTGTATTTGTATTTCTCTTTTTCGTCTGTGTTCTAGAACAGTCTTTAATTTCAGGCCTATTTTTGCAATTTTACTTAGTATTAATGAAATATCAATGTTTCTGCAGCAGCCTTGCACCATAGTTTACTAAATTTTCTATTTCATACAGACAACATTGGAAATAACCACACAGCAATCTCACTTCTATCATAACTAAAACTAAAGTATGCAGCTACATATAAGACCTCATTATCAGGAGTACTTATGTTCTATGTGTTTTCTGAGTTTTCACAGGCCTAGATCTCCTTCAGCAATAGCCTCCCCCACTTGCAAGCTGTCTCCTCTGCAGCTCATTCTGGTCTGTATGTTCATCTCCTGCTCAAAGCCTGCAGAGAACTTTAAAATTTCCATACCATTTCCTGGAGAAGAACTCTCCCACCCACCAAAACTTTCTGCTCGATGTTTAACAAAGATCAAGTTTTCATTCTGAAATTATTTTGGAAATGAAGGGATGTTTAGTATCTTCCAGGAGGAGCTGGAAAACATGCTTTACTGAGTCCTGTCACAATCCATGGTCTCTTAGCTATTGTGCATCAGTTTTGGTTACAGGGCAGGCTGGCTACTAACCTTATTTTGTCCCGCCTGGGTGACCTCCATAGCTTGTGTACCTTGTTCTGAGTTGGTGGTGCAATGCTACCATTCCAGGACTGATTTTCTGAGAGGCAGCTTTGTCACTGTTGCCCAAACATATTAACAAGTAGGGCTGGAATGAGTTTGGCATTTGCTAAAACCTTACTCCAGTGCCCTCGTAGCAGCAAATTAAAGGGACAGCTTTTTCACAACAAACCAGAATTCATTACACCTCTAGAATGCAACCTATCACACAAAAGACTGAAGCAGTACAATGTCCATATTCACGCATATTATCCAAGGCTGAACATTGTTCTGCATCCTAACCTTCCCCAACCTCCACCTGTGCAACGTCTGGCTTTGCTAATGGATAATGAAGAGCCCTAAGAGCAATGAAATCATGGCAGCAAAGGTTTCAGTAAGCCCAAAGCCCACCAGCATGCCTACCTTCTTACTCAAGCAGCTAAGTTTAACTGCAGTTTGTGCTACTGTAGCATCAGGTACAGGGACAATCTCTTGGACTGGCTTAATCATCATCTAACATAATCTATATGTTCCTCTCTTCTTATCTATGGAGTGGTTGAAGGCCTGATATGGTCCTTTGTATTTATATTTTGATGCTTTCATTGTTCCTCATCAAGACTCTTGATTTACCTCAATGCAGTCAACCAGAAAATCACCATACAAGTAAACCGAGGCACTTAGCTATACTTACAGGAAACAATACATGCAGCTTTCTCATTCTCCACATTTGTATGGATACAAATTACAAATTTATTTTGATCATTTGCATGGGTTTATGATATGACCCCCTGGGAGCTCTTCCATATGGGGAATAAAGATTCAAAATTTGCATATTCACAAATGATAGCAAAATCCCATCACTTTTTGCAGTACTGCTATTAAAGAGAGCACAAACAAACATTAATTACAAGTTCATTGCATAATACAAACAATATTTCTTTAGGCATTCATTATTAGCCAAAACAAGATTCTTTGGCAGACTTTTTTCTAAATTTTTTTTTTTCCAGAATATGCGGTTATTTTTGTTTTCATCAAGTAAACACAATTTCTGCTATGGGCTGCAATGTTTGGGATTTTAGTTCTATAGAATAATAGAATATCTGCATTTGAAAGGGATTCACAGTGGATCGACAAGCCCAACTCATGATCCCACACAGCACCACCCAAAGCAAAACTCCTCTGCTCTGGGCTCAAGAGGGACCAAGGAACCTCAGCTGATTCTCATACATCTTCCTTTCCAGACCTTTCACCATCTTTGCAGCCCTCCTTTGGATGCTCTCTGATAGTTTTATGTTCTTCTTGTATTTTGATGCCCAAACCTGCACACAGGACTTGAGATGAGGACATAAAAGCGTAGAGCAGAGCAGGACAATCCAGATCTAATTTTTCATCTTACATTGGCCTTTGAGGCTTCCAGTTGAGTGAGATATTTTTAAACTGCAGACTCTCCACTTCACTCTCAGAAGCAACTTGTGGAGTTCTTATACTGAAACACACAGGTGATGCGCTCTAATTCTCAAGCTGTTCCTCTGCTCGACGGCACTCAGTAACTGTAAGGAGGGGTGGCCCCTTTGCAGGCTGGGGCTCCAGATTCCTGCTGAGGTGCAGAAAATCTGTTTGTTTGAACCTTTTTACATAGAAATGTCACTCAGTGTATCCACTTGAAGGCACATGAAAAAAAAATCTTAGTTTCAGTTCTTCCAGCGGAGCTGGAATAAATAAAGCAGTCAAGGTATTAAAATAAACCTCCCATTTTGTTGTCTGTAATTTGGGCCAATCCAGTTCTTGTTGAAATTAATAGAGAGATTGTGATGATTTGAAGAGCAGTTAAATCAGATTATAATGCTATTTCCCTGACCTATTTTTCCACTCTTGGTTGAAGGCAGGGCTTGAGATTGCTTTGCTCATGACATTCCTGACTAGAATAGTGCAGAGCTGTGTGGCAGAAGCACATGGTGGAACTATCACGTAGATTAATGGTGAACAGAAACAGGAACTGTTTTACATAACATGTGCATGTTTTTCAATAGACCCTAGCCAATTCTGCTGTCAAGTGCTGCCTATTTTTTCTCTTCAGGAGTGATTTTATTGTGTGTCATTCAGTAGGATCTGCATTCAGTCACTAGACTGTAGGCTGCATTGGGGCAGAAATGGCTTTGTTACCCTACTTTTTTTCTTTGCAGGTACAGCATGAGCCCAACCAGAGGCTGTGGTCTCTACATGTTCCCATAACCTAAAAGCACATTTGCATTTATAACACTTGATGTCATAGTTATCATCCGCACAGTTCCACTAGCAGCTGCCACTTCTCTTCACATGTGTACCCAAACCAACTCCTGGCTTCCTTGGTGACAGTACTTGTGGAAAATTTCTTGAAAGGAAAACAACCCTTCTAGCCAGCACCTGCGCTGTGCAACAGCAGGAAAAGTGCTCTCACAGACTGGTCTGTGGCAAAGCACCTCTCTGTTTGTATCCTAAGTCTAAAACAATCATTACTTTCGAATGTAATATGTGAAGACTGGGCATAGGCATAAAAAAATGGAAAAATTATTATTACTATAAGTGATTTGGCCTTTGTGAAGCTGGGAAAGAAGCTGTCTGATGTGCATGTCTGTATCAGAAGTTAAACTGAATTGTTCAAGAGAGACAAAAGTGTTTTATTGTTTGTTTGAGTACGGAACAATGGAATTGGGCAAAGTCATTATTACAGTGTCAGAGGAGAAAAGGACTATAATCTCCTAAGGCATGTCGTGCACCTTTCTGCTACATAACCTACTGCACTTCAAAGGGGATGTGTTGGAATGCTAGTGGAGAAGGAGGCATAATCTAATTCAAGGTATCTTAATCAGCATGGTGTATAACCTAGCAAAGGGTTTTCCAATATTTAATATTCATTGCCTGTATGCATGCAGAAAGCATGGAAACAAAATTGCTTTTTAAGGGAAAGGTTTGCATAGGTCTGGCTGAAAAGTGTAGCCCTTAAAAAATATATTGTTAATCTGTTTTATTCTATATAAGCTTTTATACTGTGCTTGTCACTGTATTTGGAACGCCTTCCAGTAAGCAGAAAGATTAACATCTGTTGTAAGCTA